CTCAGAAATTCATTTTTTTCACCGGTTCTCTTTCTCCGGTTCTTGCCGCCTTTCTCTCCCCCCCCCCGCCTCCCCCCTGTCGTTGCTCGCGGAAACCGAGCGAGGTTTATTATTAACCAGTAATGCGGCGCATGAATATTCAAGCCAGCAGCAGGAATTCGAAAATCACATAATATGCAAAGTGGCGGATACGTATTTTCGGCGCAAGCGAATCCCGTTTTCTTTTTTTTTTTGATATTTGCGCTTTTAATGAATGACAATTTGCGCGGAATGCATTCGACCGCGTATTAGTTTTGATTGCACGAACAGATAGATAAGATCTCTCGATGTCTCGATCGTTATTTCTCTCCTTCTGTACAAAAAAAAAAAAAAAAGAAAAGAAAAGAAAAGAAAGCATCTTTTGTTGTCCGATATTACGAAAACGACGTGATACAGGGCGATACGAAACGTCGGACGAAAGTTGGCAGCTTCCACTTCTACGTCTTGATCGCGACAAGTTCAGAAAGAAATCGTCCTCGTTGATTTGATCATCGATCCAAGGAGTCTAGCCGGTGATCATTGAACAAAGTTTTCGCGCCGCGTATTCGCCAATCGGATGGCATTTTACCTCGGCGTGACGTCATCGTGATGCACGAGTGGTTGAAATGATAAGTAATGATGTTAATAAATAGTGGAGTCTGCATCGGCGCAAATAGGGAATTGCAGAGAGTAGAGTGGTCCCCCCCTCCCTCTTCTCTACCATCCCCCTTTCCCCCTCGTTGAATCAGGGGTCGCGCGTGAAAACGGCTGCGCGCGTGTACTAATCGTGGCGGAAAGGGTGCCGTGAGTTATGAGTGCTCTATGATATCAATGCATCAATTTGACTAAACGAAGGATTAATTTAATAACAAGTCAGCAGATGAGTAGTCGGATGATAAATAGAGAAGGGAGAATTGTAAGCGATATTCAGACCGACGAGGGGCAGGGGGGGAGGGGGGGGGGGAGGGGGATGTAAACCGACGGTGTTTCTTTTCTTTTTATTGGGTCATCTTCGATGCACCCTGTCGTTTTAACGCAATTTAAACTTAGTTTCATCCGGAACGTGCTCTGTATCACTCCTCTGAGAGATTGGTAAAATAATTTTGTCGTTCACCTTGTTCCTTTATTTTGGAGGGTAAAATAACAATAGGCATAGAAATCATGATCAATAGAAAGTTGATTTTTATGTTCTAATGCGGGGGAGGAGATGACGTTATCTTGAAGAATTTATAATCAAGAAAGTCTGTCTGTTGATTCTCACTGGAGTCTGGATTCCGTTGCAACGATGATTACAATGATTTAATACGTTTGATCATTGGTAAATTTTGTCGTTCACCTTGTTCCTTTATTTTGGAGGGTAAAATAACAATAGGCATAGAAATCATGATCAATAAAAAGTTGATTTTTATGTTCTAATGCGGGGGAGGAGATGATTTAATACTTTCGATCATTGGTAAATTTTGTCGTTCAATTTTAACCTTGTTCCTTTATTTCGAGGGTTGTTGGGCAAAATAACGACAGCGTAGGAATCATGATTAATAAAAATTTGATTTTCATGTTCTAATGCGAGGACGTTCTTTTGAAAGATTTACAATCTGTAGAACGATTCACGCTGGAGTCTAGATTCTGTTGCAACGATGATTACAATGATTTGATACTTTCGATCGATACTGTGTATATATATTACTGGACTGCACGGTACGATCTGATTGTGACCGATAGGAATACTTTAATTATGATCGTGCCATATGATTTTTGGTGATAATGGACTCTTACCGCAATAATTTGAAAGAGCGATATTTCACCGCTCGTAGAACAACGCATGATTGACAGTGCAATAATAACGGCGATTACGACAATATTGAAGCACCGGCTGACTTTGTTACCGAACATAACTAGGGGATTTCCCCTTCGATACTCGGACACCCTAACCGCCCTTAACTTACTGCATTAGTTTCGCAAATTGAAGAATTCCGGCTTTATTCCCACTCTCTCCACTCTCTCATCCTCTGCGCTCAGGCAGGAACTTATTATATGAATACTGATATTAGAACACGAATCTTCTCAATAATCCTTCACAAATATTGTTCACACGGTGCTAAATGTAATCTGTACCACAGATTTTGGCCACAAAAATGTGCCTTTTAATAATTAGTTCTCAAATTCTTTGGTCGTTAGAATGATGAACTAAGTGAATTACTTTCGAGTAATTAACTTCTCTACGATGAGATCCAAACTGGTCTAAATCACAGCGCAAATTATTCAAAATTCGGCGTACATGAATGAACATTTGAAACTTGGGCAAAAAGTGAGAAAGCCAAAGTCATATTCTTCACGCAACAGACTACCTCGCTCGCTACGAAGGTATCATATTCTCGCTCGTTGAAACGTTTCTGCGACGGGCGTTTACAGCGAATAAAATTAAACGGGGAACGGTTCACGGAACCATTCGTGTCTCCAATTCACGCGAACGTTAGCGTTAGTCAAAATTGTACCTACGTGGATTTCCTCGTCTTCGCCGGGCGTTCCACGGGATATGTCGTTCGGCTCCTGCCCCACCTCCACTTTTCACCCCACCGGTTGTTTCGTTGCCGGGTGCCGATTTAATCCGGGATTCAGCACTCGATTTGATACGTTACACAGCGGTTTGTATGCCCTAACTCGCCTTACTCAACACGGTACAGCCTGTTCGTATTACTGTTCCTACGACCCGCCCATACTAGATCGCTTCATTTTGTTTCACCCTCGGTTCTCTCATTATCTCGTGCAACCGCTCTCTTTCTCTCT